TAGAGCTGCAGTTTATGGTGCCAGCATCTCACCTGGGCACTGCTTCTAGTCCTTGATGCTCTGCTTACCTTTGAGTTTCCTGCAGAGAACCTGGGAAAAGCAGTGGAAGATGGCCCAAGTGTTTGGGCCCCTGCCTCCACATGGGAGACCAGAGAGCAACTCCCAGGTCCTGGCTCCCAGCCCTTGGGGATTGGACCGCTGAGTGAAAGTCCCAGGTCCTGGCTCTGACCTGGCCGAGTCCTAGCCTTGTAGCCTTTAGGGAATGGACACTAAGTGGAGGATCCATCTCTATCTCTGCTTTTCAAATAAATTAAAATATGTATATATATAAGGTGAGTCATTTTACTTGAACTTAGCTTTTAGTATCAGCTTACCTTTTCAGTATATTTAAATTGTAAATGAATATTGCAGTGGTTTTCTTTTCTGGTGGTTTTGATGTAGTTATGCTCATTTACTGGCAGTTCACTGTTGCTGTTGCAGTATCCCCCCTGTAGCAGCTCTTTCCTTTGACAGGGTTGGCTGAGCAGGTTGCGTTTTCCCCTCAGTTGGTGGAAGTGTGCGTTTTTGTACTGTGGCAGTGGCAGGTGTTTCTTTGGTTGGTGAGCGGTCTGTCCTGTCAGACAGACGACATCCTTCGGCTTCAGTCCTGACCTCTGCGTTTTTTCCTCTGTGATTCAGCAGCTGTAAAAGCCAAAATTATAAACTGTGTCTTGGAGTTCTAGCAGAAGTAAGCCGTATAAATTTGGTAGTTCTAGTTAGTACACTTCCCCAGACTGTTAATCTGCACATTAACTTAGGAAGAGTTTGAAATTACAGAACAATGAGAAAAGTTTTAGAAGTAAGGTGTAACATTTGCAGAGGGGTATCACAGATTAATATGCAAGCTTACTCAAGGCTTCTGTTTAGTTTTAATGTGACATTGTGTTGAGCTTGAAAAACGCATAGGTTGATGCCCCCTTGTGGTCTGTTACCAGAATAAATCAGAAAATAGTATTGCAGATCTTACTGCAGGTGAAATCGTCCGTTCGTTTACAAAATAACTTTAAAAAAGAAATTCCTGTGGGAAAACAGCAAAGGCATTATTGTTCCCTTTATTCCATATAACCTGCCAACCTTGAATTTATCAAATATTAATTTTTCGAAATTAATTTTTATTAAAGAAAGGTATATTTACAGAAAGAAGGAGAGACAAAGAGAAAGATCTTCCATCTGCTAGTTCACTGCTCAGATGTATGCAATGGCTGGAGCTCAGCTGATCCAAAGCCAGGAGCCAGGAGGTTCTTCCTGGTCTCTTACATGGATGCACGTCCCAAGGCTTTGGGTCATCCTTCATTGCTTTCCTGGGCCATCAGCAGGAAGCTGGATGGGAATTGGAGCAGGCCGAGACACCAGCTGGTGTCCAGAAGGGATCCCAGAGCTTGAAGGTAGAGGAGTCATCACGTCCGCCCCTACTGAATATTAACACCTTGTAGCAGTGTGTTTATTAGCTGGACACTGATTCAGAGGAGTTAGTTCTCCTAGGTGTTACAGTTATCAGGAACTGGCATTGTGACTCAGTGGGTTAAGTTGCTGTTCACCATGCCTGCATCTTATGTTATAGTTTGAAGACTGCGTTCTCTCTCAATAAATATATCTTTAAAAAATCTATGAGATATGATAGTAATTATGGAATTAATCCATTGTCTCCCTGCCCTATATATACCTTAAACATTCCAGTTCTAGATGACTCTTGTGAAATTTGTTTATACTTAGGTGTTTGATCTGTAACGAGGTGTTGGAGGAAATGAAGGCCTCTGTTTTGAATTGTTGAATTTAAGTTTATTTGTTTTTCTGACATTGTTGCAACATGAGAAGTGGAAGTGAGGAGAAACGGCAGTAGGCAGTAGTCGGTGTTTTAAGACAGAAAGGTTGTAGATGTGCTGACCAGCTGCTTTGGCATGTTGCGTGATGGGCATAGGGAGTCCAGGAGAGGGAGGGCCCAGCTTTGGCATTAGCTAGGTCTTCAGAGTGATCTAATCTAATCTAGCCATTCTTGGAAAGTTGAATGCTACTGGATCTGTTACTGTGTCTCTGAGCACAGATTTTCTTTCTTTATAAAGAGGCTAAAACCTACCTCACTTAAGTATATCTGGTTTGATTTAATCGTGTGAACTGTTAGGCTAAGAACAGTTGTGAGTTACAGAGAGACATGTATGATTTTTATAGTTGCTGGATTGTTGGTTAAAGTTAATGATAGACTGTATCTTAAAAAGTGGTGAAATCAGCTCATAGTGTACTGTTATATTACTGTATAAGTACATATTTTATTTGTAAATTCTTGATTATTATTGGATATTATATTAAAAATTTACTAGATTGTTTAACAGTTGAAATCCAGTAGCCATATGTTTTCTTAAGGATTATATGAATTGTTTTTCTTCAGGAGTACTGTTTGTGTATTTTAGTAGGTTTGCTTAAAAGCAATGACATTGAAAAGTAGTATTGTTTATCCATAGCTGTTCAACTTCTGTGTATTAGTAGGAAAAAAAGCATTTTTTGATTTGTTTTTCCAGAGTTGCTTATAAGACCCAACTATGATTCCATCTGGTTAATAATAAAGGCAATTAATTTGAGTCCCCTTTCAGAAAAAAAAGAAAAAGAAAAGAAAAATCTTTGGGGTTAATTTAAAAAAAAAAGTTTTAAAAAAATATTCAGATATATTCAATTTGAGTTGTATGATTTTATCCTTCAAAAATTGGAGTTGCTGGCTTAATTTATTAATTTTTAGAAATTTATTACGTTTTTCTTTGAATAACTTGTAAAAGAGAAGAAAATGGAATCTGATGATGCAGATGTGGCGGCTCGGGCCCCGGCGTCTTTTTGAAGCAGGTGGACAGTACATTGGATAAACAGATAACGTAGGCATGTTGTCAGAAAGTTCTTCTGTGTGTTTTCATATCTGCTTTTTTTTTTAAACCTTTCTTTTTATTCCTGATTTTCAAATTGCTTCTCTAATCTCCATCTGGATAGGGTGTCTGATTCTAAACACTTAGTATGTGTGGTAATGTATTATATTATACTTTGTATTATGAAGTAGGTGCTGTTTCTTTATCCTTGACTTCTCTGCTGCTGGGGAGACTATTTTAGGGAAAACAAGCGGCTGGGAGTAGAGAAAGGATTGCTAGAACAAAGTGGAGGGCAGCTCGTCGGGGGTGCCGGCAGGGCCACGTGCCTTCATACCCGTGGCTTGGGCTTTATACATAAAAGGCATGTGTGCCAAATTTACATATTTACTAATTAAAAGGGCTTCCTGGAAACATTAAGTAGACTATCTTCCATAACCTTTAACACCGTCACTAATGGATATAGCCTAGAAAATTCCATCGAAGGTCCTTTAAATAATGTAAATGATTATGAATATGTAACTAGTTAATATGCAGCTACGAAAGGATTATCATGTAGAGGTTAATGAACATTCTGCTCTTACGGTTTGCGGGGCTTTTCTCTCTGTGCTTTTGGCTCACTTCATGCTTGGAAACACAAGCGTTGGCATTGGAAAACATCCTGACTGCTTTGGGGTCTCATCTTTCAATGGTGTTGTTAAATAGAACCTTTTATAACAAGAATTTCAGGAAGATATTTTTCTTTTTTAATTTCCATTTAATTCTATTTGTCTATTTCATAATTACTGCAAATCAGAAACAGAGAGAATGGATTGATGTAGTTGAGCTTGGCTCTTCCAGATGTGAAGTCAGTGCTTTATTATGTATTACCACTGTTATTAAGTGTTGCTGTGTGATTGATACTTACTGAGAAATCTTCATTCGAGAATGGACTTGTTATGCCGAGTTAATGTGTAGTATGCTTGGAGAGCTGATTATAACATGTATTTTGGTACAAGATTGCTATCTTAGTATTTCAAACATCCCAAAAGAGATGACGTTGATTTCAGAAATTAAATGTTGTAAGAGAAGAATTCACTGACAGGTCTTAAAAAAATCTTGTGTGCTTTTTTTTTTTTTTTTTTGGTGAAGCATTCATATACACAAAAGACGGTACTGTCCATTGAAGCTGTGAAGTCAAGAATCAGTGTGTTCCCACCACATCGTACTTCTTTTTCACATGATGTTGCATTAAACATTTTGGTTTTTTATCTTAATTTCTCTGTCTCTAAAACGGTGCTAGAATATTCTAGGTTACTATTTAAATTTTTTATTAGTGGGTGATTTAAAGTAGGTGACTAGTAATCCTTGAAAATAGTGTGAATTTGAAAATTAGCATTCAAATGCACTGTTACTAAAATTGTATTTCTTTCTTACTGATTAGTGGTACTTGTTTTGTGGCATTTTGAGGACCCACGAAAATGCCCCTGAGGAAAGCAAATAACTTTTGTGTTTAATTCTATTGTTTTAGTTGAAAGTATGAAGTCCTTAAAATTTTATCATAACTCACTAGGAAAAATAAAAGCTGTTCAGAGCATCTCTTTATACCAGGTGTTTCTTGAAAATGTCGTAGAAAAATATCACTGAACTCATTCTTAATGCATCAGAATAAAAATTACAAGTGAAAACATTTGGAGATATACTGAGAAAATAAAATATTTCAACTACTGTCATTTTTAAAAACCGATGAAACTTGTATGTACCATTGGTTTTTATTATTTATAACATTTGTGTATTTTATAAAATATGTAACATTGGAAACAGGTTTGTAAATTGCGTAAAATACTAGTTATCTTATATCACATGTCACCTGATAGTTATGAAGCGGGTTTTGTACCCAAGTATGAATTGGAAAGCTGTAATTTATTCTGTGGTTATCAGCTCGCATTAGAGGGTTATGATAAAGTGGGCTGCTTAAAAACTCCCATTCACATCGCTGTGCATGTGACAAATAAAAATGTACACTGGGAGGCTGTCACATCTGTAAAGCCACTGTTGGAGTTCTTTGATACACTGATTTTGTAGCTCTGTGCATAGTCCTGTTTTTTTTTCATGTGTAGTTATCTGTTTTCATGACAGGTGGTCACTAACTGCCAGGAGAAAATCCAGCATTGGTGAGTGAAAAATGGCTTTATTACACTTCTGAAATACTGATGAGATCACCTTGTTGTATTTAAATAATGTATATCCTGTTTTCTGGGTAGATGTTTGACCAGGAATAGAATTCTTCAGTAACCTCCATTTTGAATGTCTTCATACTAATTCCCCCTTGTCTGAGTTATATGTTCCCAGATTTCCTGAAGTTGTGTTACCATTTGATATTTACTCTGATATCTTTTTTTCCTTTCTTTTCTTTTCCTATTTTAAGTTAGGATGACATTAATACCATGATGAAGTGAAGACAGACATTTTCCGACCAGCTGGTTGAAAGATGTTTGAATGTTTCTTATATTTGTAGCAGAATATGTATATATATTTCTGTATTTTTAAAACATGTATTTCTATATATTTCTAGGATACATATATTTCTCTCTATATATCTTAAATATATGTGTTTGATAGAAAGCTGTATTAATATTTCTTTTATTTGTAGTAGAAAATGGAATTAAATATTTTAAAATAATGATGGGAATGTGGCACAGTTATTTTTTCCTCAAGTTTGAAAAAAAAAGTTTGGTGGATTTCCTCTGTTTCACAGCTTTCCTTATGTGCTATACTTTTTTTAGGAAGGAAGAAAGAATATCTGTTTTAATGTGCTAATCCGTAGCTAATAGGACAGTGCTTCGTAAATAACAGTTTATTATTGCTGCTGCGAAAACTGCTCGATTTAATGGTGAATAAAATGTTAATATTATGAGTTGTCATAAGGTATAGCCGTTGATCTTACAGATGACGAATTATAATATATCTGTGCTGTGTTTACGGAGAGTTTTCTAACAGAACAACAGGAGCTGGCTTGATTGTTGTCTGCAGGGTTATTGCAAAATCATGGTAACTGCCCCTTCAGTGGGGAGAGTAAGCCTTCAGTTATACACCACCAAGCATATAATATTTTAAATTTACTTTAAGAGGCTTTTTCTTCATGCCTGAAAAATCTCCAAAGGAAATAATTTATAGTTAGTGTCTATCATTTTTTGTTTGTTTAAATGCACATAAGGCTGCAAGCAGTGGAAAAGATTGAAAGTGCAACCTGTATACATGCACTGATTAAATTTTGAGTATTGGCTTGAGAAAGTAATCTAAACTAATAAGTAAAAACTATAAGTAAAAATTCAGGACGTCATTAATTTTCAATAAATGCAGTGTTGTAGTTGCAGACACTGGTGGTGTATGTCTGTCAGCATCTCCATGACAGGCCATTTGCTTTTGCATTATAAATTCAGTTCATGTTGAAACTTGAGATGCAAGTCCTTGGCCAAAGAATGTTTTTCCCCTACAGATTTGGCCAAAGTGATCTATTTTACAAATAACTCCCAGGGGATGTTTTATTAATGTGGCCTTCTCTCTGTTGGTTTTGGTGAGGAGTTCAGGAAATTAGAAAAGGCTGTATCCGCCCAGAATAGACAGCACTTTACACACGTGTGTGGATAGCTGCTTTGTGAGGCTTCGCTGTTGGAGAATTCCGAGGGAGTAAGGGACATGTTTTCACCCTTTTGTTCACAACCTCTCCTACTGTGTTTGGCACAAAATAGACACTCTGTAAATTTTTGAATAGACGGAGACCAAATATTATTTAATATGTGATGTTTCAGTTGACAAATGCTGTAGTGCATGTGAGTGTGAGCAATGATACCAATACGACATTACTTCAGGAGACAAGATTTCACAGTTTTCTAAAACCCTCTATATTACAGAAGCTTAGCATATTTGCCTACATGTATCTTAAAGTAATATTGGGCCATTTTTGTACATGAAAAATTTGAATTTTTTTGCCAGTTGAAATTTGCTTTTTTCCTCTGAGTCATTTCTGAGTATAGCTTAGGAAACAGACTCTCTGTTTGCTTTTAAATGAAGATCTATATGTGGTATCGTGATACGGCTGGCATTTACATGGCCAGTGAACTCATCAATTTATATATTCAGAAATTGAAACAAAAATGTCTTCATGCCTCTGAAAGCCAGGAAATTGCTGTTTGAGAGGATCGTGGAATTCTTGTGATATTTTTACATTCTCTTAATTCTGCCAACAATGATTGAGTTCCTACCACATGCCAGTGTTGGCTGTGCAGAATGGAGAGACCTTGTCATGGAGAAATTCATACATGGTCAGGTGTTAAGCAGAGTAATGGCAATGATTTTGCACTGTTTGCAGAGATATTAAGCCAATACAGAGGGAGTTCAAAGACTGGCGCTTGTTTGAAAGATGTCTCACTTACTACTTTTAAAAACATGCTGTGTTTTTAATTCTTGTTTATTTTTTACAGATTTATTCATTTATTTTGAGAAAGATTTACATAGAGAGGGAGAGACAGAGAAAGAAAGATCTGTGTGCTGGTTCCCTCCCCCAAAGGGACATAATGGCGCTCTCCCTCTCTCCCTCTCTCCCTCTCTTCCGATTCTTTCTATTTTTATTAGAGTCAGATAAACAGAGAGGAGGAGAGACAGAGAGGAAGATCTGCCCATTGATTCACTCCCCAAGTGGCTTCAATGGCCGGAGCAAAGCTGCTCGAAAGCCAGCAGCCAGGAACTCTTCTGGGTTTCCCACTCGGGTGCAGAGTCCAAAGGCTTTGGGCCATCCCACAAGCAGGGAGCTAGATGGGAAGTTGAGCTGCTGAAATTAGAACCGGCGCCCATATGGGATCCCAGCATGTACAAGGCAAGGACTTTAGCCACTAGGCAACTGTGCTGGGCTCCTTCCGTTCTTTCTTAACCCTTGGTGTTAACCTAGTCTGAAATATAATTCATGTAACTAAACTGTTTTTTTTTATACTTTTTTAAGACTTTTTTTTAATTGTTAATAACATTGTATTATGTGAAACAGTTTTATAGGCACTTTTTAATGGATACATACCATTGTAATGGTGAGTAAATTATAGGGTTTTATACATTCTTACAATAGTGCTGTTTATGATTATTTGTATATTTTAAACGGATTCTTTAAGGGACAAGGGACAAGTGATGTGTAATATGAGCTTCAGAATTATCTGAATTTATTTTTTAAATGTAGGACAAGAAGGAAAACATGTGCAGAAAAAATAGGACCAGGACCCAGCATGATAACTCAATTAGCTAAATCCTCTCTTTGCAGCTGCTGCCATCTCCTGTGGGCACTGGTTCTAATCCCGGCTGCTCCACTTCCCGTCCAGCTCCCTGCTTATGTGATCTGGGAAAGCGGTCGAGGACGGCTCAAAGCCTTGGGACCCTGTACCGTTTTGGGACCCCTTAAGAAGATGCTGGCTATGGATCAGTTCAACTCTGGCTGTTGTGGCGGTGTGGGGAGTGAACCAGTGAATTTTGAAAGAGTTTTCTGTCTCTCTCTCTCCATAAATCTTTAAAAAAAAGTTGGGGGAGAGAGACCTGAAAATGACTAGAACGTCTAATTGCCCAGAAAAATCTCTTTTACAGAATCAGTTGAAATCCTAAAACTTTGGTGAACCAAGACATTTACAGTATTTATTTGGTTAATAAGAAGAATTTTTAGTGCTTATTTGGTTAATAACATGAATAACATGAAAGAAATGTGTTGAGCCTAATAGAAGAGAATTTGAGCAACATTTTTTTATTAATTACACTGCATTATGTGACACAGTTCATAGGCTCTGGGATTCCCTCAACCCGTCTCCGTGCCCTCCCCCCATGGAGCAACATTGTTTTAAAGCTAATAGTGATTTTCTTTTTTCTGTTTTTTAAGATTTATTTTTATTATTTTTTATTGGAAAGGCAGATATACAGAGAGGAGAGACAGAGAGGAAGATCTTCCGTCCGATGATTCACTCCCCAAGTGAGCACAGTGGCCGATGCTATGCCAATCCGAAGCCAGGAGCCTCTTCCGGGTCTCCCACGTGGGTGCAGGGTCCCAAAGCTTTGGGCCGTCCTCGACTGCTTTCCCGGGCCACAGTCAGGGAGCTGGATGGGAAGCGGGGCTGCCGGGATAGAACCTGTGCCCATATGGAATCCCGGGCGTGCAAGGCGAGGACCTTAACCACTGCGCCACCGTGCCAGGCCCTGACAGGCTAATAGTGATTTTCAATTTAGTTAGGACAGCAAACTTTTTTAGAATACATTTTTCTATTTATAATTCTTTTTATTTAGGCAATAAAGCATTATAAAATCTATACAGTGTTTTTTTTTTTTTTAAAGTAAAATGTGAGTATGCCTCCCTCTGTGTGGTCCACTGGCACCTGATTATTCTGTTTGTTGATTGTAATTTTGAAACAATTACATATTTTCAGTTTATTTGAAAGGCAGAGCGCTGGAGACCAGAGTAGTCAGTCTGCTGGCTCACTGTCCACATGGCCGTGGCATTGGTGTTGGGGCAGGCTGGAGGCGGAAGCCTGGCATCGCGACTGGGCTTCTCCTGTGAGTGTCAGGGAACCCAGGACTGCCTCCCAGGGGAGGATTTGAACTGGGCCCTCAGATGTGGGATGTGGGTGTTGCAAATGATATCTTAAGCACTGTGAATTTTAGTTTTTGATCTTTTCTATGAGAACCATGGGATTTGGAGTCAAAGACTTAGATTTGAATTGTTTTATAACCTTGGACAATTACTTTGAAGGTTTCAGTTTTCTTGTCACAGGCTGTTGTAGTGGAGAGTGAATGGGATGATGTCTGTGGAGCACTGAGCCTGACCCCCTCGGATTGATAGTAGCATTATTGTTTGAAAAAAAAATTTGTTTTGAATTTATTTTATTTTTATTGCAAAGTCAGATATATAAAGAGGAGGAGAGACAGAGGAACATCTTCATCCGATCATTCACTCCCCAAGTGACTGCAAGGGCAGGTGCTGCGCCAATCCAAAGCCAGGAGCCAGGAACTTCCTCCAGGTCTCCCACATGGATGCAGGGTCCCAAGGCTTTGGGCCGTCCTGGACCGCTTTCCCAGGCCACAAGCAGGCAGCTGGATGGGAAGAGGAGCTGCCGGGATTAGAACTGGCTCCCATATGGGATCCCAGCAC